CTCATCTGTTTAGTAACCTTGAGGAATATTTGCCAAATTTTTAACCTTATCTTGTAAAAATCATATCCCGTGATATATGTTTCTCAATTTAATGGTTTAGGACCTCATTTGAAGCTTGATATGTCCTCTATAAGTTTTTCAAAATTTAAAGTGATAATCATTATGTAGCTACAACAATACCTTTACCAAACTTGCTTCCTTAGATAAGTACTTTCACTTGATAACTAACACCATACATAAAAATATTTACATACCAAAATAAATCCTATTCATGATTCTAAATGAACTATAAACATATTGGTAATCTATCTTCCATACTTACAACTTCAAAATAAAATGATGGAAATTTATAAATGTATGCATGCATGCATGCATGTTAAAGTACCAAAAACATACCAAAATATAATTAAAAGCAAGGTATAGAAAATAGGGAGAATGGCAGAGAGGTCCCAAAATGATCAATTAATTCAAGTTAGATCTCAAGTAATAAATTTTAGAAATTTGTAATTCAATCTCTCAATTTTACAACTCTATTATGATGAATTTACAACTTATATTTCAAATTTTAACAAGACAAATAATTTTTAATTCTTCATTCATGTTAAAATTTAGAAAATAAGTTACAAATTTATTACAACACAGTTGTAAAATTAAAAAATTGAGTTGCAAATTTTTATAGTTTGGCATTTGAGACCTACTTTGAATTCATTGGTCCATTTAGGATCTCTTTGTTATTCTCTCTAGAAAATAACATGCTTCATTGCTCTTTCTTCTTGCCTTGGTTCTTGGATGAACCTGCACTAATGATTTGTGACATAAGGAGAAGAGTGAGACTTTTAAAAAGGAAAATGACAATAAAATCCCTCTAAAATATATAAATGATAAGCTGGTCCCTTAAAATGTAATAATTTCTTTGAAGTCTTTAGGGACTTTTATCATTAATGAATTTTTATAAATTATCAAATTGCCCTTGTTGAAAATAAATGATTCACAAGTTTTGTTTAAATTTACAACTTTTCTTCTTATATTTACAATAATACAACAACAAATCACAACTTTACATTTTAATTCCTTATTTGCTGTTAGATTATTGCGAATATAAGAAGGAAAGTTGTAACTATTTAAACAAAACTTGTGAATCATTTATTTTTAATAAGGGAAACTTGATAATTTATATAAATTCATTAATAACAGAAAAGTTTCTAGGAACTTCAAAAAAAATTATGGCATTTTGAGGGACTAAATTATCATTTTCCCTCTTGAAAATTACTAGCATCAATCCATTTCAAGCATCAAGCAACCATGGTCAACTAATTCAAACTCAATAAGCTTTGGCCATGAATTTATAAAAACTTATCAAGGTATAGATATACATTGGCGAAAGGTTCATACAAGTAGAGTTGGTAATTTGGGTCAAATTCAATAGGCCAACCTGAACCCGCTTGAAAAATTTAGGGCCAAGCTCGAACAAAATATTAATTTGTTATTGTTTCAGCCAATTCAAGCTGCTCGAATAGGCTCGAGAAAATTTGGGCCAAGCCCGACCGAGTTTGGGTTTGGCCTGAATAGCCAAATAAAAAAATAATTTTTTAAAAAATATATAAGACATGATAAATATTAATTAAATTTTTAATTTTATATAATTTTATATCAAAATACTATATATTTGAGTTTTTTAATATATTTATACTTTTAAAAAATAAAAATAGTTATATTTCATATTTTTATTATTTTTAGTCAATAAAATATCTCAAAATGATATTTAAAATATATTTTAATATTTTAAGACTCAATTTTTTTAAAAAAAATTGAGTCTTATACATCATTTGTGTATAAAACAATTAATTTTATATTTTTTATAAATTAAGATAATTAATTTTAAAATAAAAATAATTTTAAAAATAAAATTCAGGCATGAACAAATTCTCAACTCTATTACTAAATAAACATAATAAATAGGATAATACTCTTGAATAATTACTTGGTCATTGTCTATATGATACTTAGTTAAAAATTAAGAATAAATTAGAGTAAAAATTTCTTATATGTAAGAGTTAAACAATATACAAAGTTAAAAAAAGATTTGAAAAAAATAATATTTTACTCATAATTAAATAATTTTTTTATGTAATGTAATGATGTTTATATTCATAAAAATGAAAATTAAAATTTACCCAAAAGTTATTAAAAACTTTAAACTAATCGGGACAATAATTTTAAGTTAGTAGTCTAATTATAATTAAATTTAAATCAACTTAATGATAATTAAAATAAAATAATTTAATTAAAATATATAAAATATTTATATATGACTATGATAAGAGCAATATTTAAACAATGAAAATATTAATTTACAAGTAAAGGAAATATTTATGAATAAATTACACATAATACAATAAAATAATAATAGAGCTACTTAAGTACAAAGTTGATAAATTATTTTTTATTTTATTTTTTTAAATTTAAAATAATATTTTATGCTTAATAGAATTATTTAAAAATTAGAATTTGTTCAAAAAATAAAAAAAATATTTTTAAAAAGTTTTGGGTATTCAGGCCATCCGGAACAAGCTTGAAGTCTGAAGGTGTTAGGATCGGGTTTAGCTATATGAGCTTTTTAAAAAGAGTAAAATACTTCAAGTCAGAAATAAGCTCGGCCCAAATTGAGCCCGATCCAAATAAGCCTAACCTGCCTGAATTACTAGCTCTACATACAAGTAAGAAAGCATCTAAATGAATCAACATAATTTCTACAAATTCATGTTATTAAAATTCAATAATAGTAAGTGTCAACCAATCAGTGCTATGACGAGTTAAAAAAATGCTACCGTGGATTAAAATACTCTCTTGTCCCAATTTCTCTTGTAAATGAACTTCTTTGGGCTTCCCACATATATCAAAGCCTAAGAAAATTAAAGAAAACATAACTTTAGATTTTTGCACTTTACTCATGTTTTGCTATTGGTCCCCCTGTACTTCTTTTTCTCGGTGTTTTAGGTCTTTATATTTTTGTTTTTTAATATTTTAGATCCCTCTAATGTCTCTATACTTTGTTCATGTTCCAAAACTAACGAATAGGCTTATAACTCAATATCAAATAATCGCTTATATTGGGTATAATGGCAAAACATTTAGTTATTCATGTGACAATTGTACTCTTGTCTTCCAAATCATTCATAAAACAATGTTGACTCTGAATATATACTTAATTATTTCATTTTAATTAATTAAATGAGTTGTTACAGCATGCCAAAAATTTGGGTTTAAGTAAAAATGAAAATATAAGTTATTGGTTATATAAATCTTGCTTGGATTGTAGGATTTAAAGCTTCGGTCTAGCTTGTAGGCCTATATAAGGCCCTTTTTAAGCTCAATCCTAAGCTTATCAAAAACTTTGTTTGGCCTTAAGTTCATTTAAAATCTTAATAACAAAATTAAAGGAGATGGTTAAATAGACTTGAAGGACCAGGCACCAAATTGGCCGATAACCAATTAAATTCTATATAATTTAATCTAATTTACACTAATTAAATAAGTAAAACAATCTTAGCTATTAAATAAGTAACATTTAAATAATTTAATAAAATTAATATAAATTAGAAAAAATTATATATAAGCCCCATGGAGCTGACTTATTTATAAAGAAGTTTCACAAAATTGAGAAACCACAACTATGTCCTTTGGGACTTGAATGTAATTTGAAATTGGAGTAAAAGAACAATAATGCTCCTATTAAATATATATAAATTATACTAGTTAAATAATTTACAACAGCTTTATTAGTATTATACAACTATAACTTTAACTTTTTATAATTGTAACTTCATATATCTAATAATTAAATTGATTAGTTTAACTATTGAATATATGGAGTTACAATTATAAAAAGTTAAAATTATAATTATAAATTACTCATAAAATGGTTGTAAACAATTAATATTAAATTTTGTTTGTAACATATGATTATTTAACTATTGAATATGTAAAGTTACAACTATAAAAAGTTAAAATTATAGTTGTAAATTGCTAATAAAATAGTTGTACATTAATTATAGGATATTATTGTACAATATTATTGTCTTTACAGCCTTATTTCAAATTACACTCAGATTCCAAGAGATTTGCTGCAGTATTCAAATTTTGTAGGACTTCTTTGTAAACAATTCTACTCCATGGGATATATACATAATTTTCCCTATAAATTACGTTATTTATATTCATGCATATGCACCAATATTAAATGTATAATAAGTCACTTTATCAACCTCAAAAGCAACCTTTCAACCTGTACTCAAAGCCAAATTTGTTTTTCGATAATAAGTAGTCAAAGCTAAATTAATTGACACTTCTATTGTTTAAATCAATTTCATTTTGTCAATTACATTTTAAGTCAAGTATGATCGATGAAAGCTAAAAATCATATTACCAAATACTATTAAATTAATTTAGAAAATTTTAAATTATTTAATTAAAAATCTTTCAACAAATTAAAAAAACCAATGCATTGTCAAAGAAATAAAATTAATTAATAGGTACGTTTGCCTAAAATAGCTTTACTTGGAAAATTTAAATTTTTATAATTAATTAATAAGAATGTAGTTTGAATCTATAATAGGTTACAATTAAATTAACAACGGTTAAATTTTTTGATAAAATAAATGATAAAGTGACTTAATTGCTTAGATGAAATATTAATAAATAATCTTAAACTTTCTTGCCATCGATTGGAATTTATGTAACGCTTGCAACTAAGAGTGAAAAAGGGCCAGCAAATTTATCTACCTATCAGGGACCTACTTATGGATATAAATCAACCACTAGACTCATACTTACAAATTAAAAGACTGTGACACACACTATTGTAAGTATAAAATAGTTTTCTTTAAAATTTATGCATAGAAGAAGCACTTTTGAAACTCTGAACTTCAGTGGATAAAAATATGATTTATATATGCTCTTTCCATTTAAAATCCTCATACCCTAAGCTTTGGGTTGATGAATTAGCAATTGTTTTCTTCATCACTCCTCTCTTCAAATTTAACATGCCTATACCCCTTAGCACAAGCAATGTAGATAGTGAGATCTGCTACTGTCAATGTAGCCAAAAGAAAATAGAACTTGTCCAAGCGTCCCTTGTTAAGGTTTCTAGGGATCCATCCTGGCTTGCCATCTCTGTGAGAAATCTTCATAACAATAGCAACAATCAAACTGCTTGCATAGTTTCCTAGAGACATTGAAGTCATGTAAAGCGCACTTCCAAAACTCTTTAGTCTATCAGGTGCTTGCCCATTAAGAATTCTAATTGACCAACATACATGAATACCTCTGAAGCTCCAATGAGCACATACTGTGGTATTTGCCAAAAGATACTTAATGAACTTGACACTTCATTTCTGGCATTCTTTAGCCTAAAGTGCTCTACTAGCCCTACTGATAGGAGATGCGGAAGCAGAATCGTGCTAGTTTAGGGACAAACCCTGAAACAACAAAAACACAAGAACAAAAAGAAAGGGACGAAATTTATGACGGAAATAAATAAAGGTATGAAGTAAACAATAGGATAATGATTAAGAAGATCCTCTAGAGCACCTGCCTCTAGGAACCTCAACCTTCGAAGACACCACAAGAGTTGATAACGCTCTTGATCACGTCTGTTTCTCACACGGGATGCCACCACAAAGCACTAAGGCTCACAAGAGTTATAAACTCTAAAAATGAATAATTTCATTCAACTTCTGTGTTGTTTACAATAGGGAGCATGCCTAATTTATATAGGCTCATAGAAAAGAATATTTCCTAAAATTAAAACCCTAATTTCCTAATACTAAAAGGAGAAATAATATAAAATAATGATAAAATATTCAACCACATAATTTAGGAGATGTGATCCTAAAATTATGGGATTACAAAATTTAGAAATTAATACTATAATTAATTCTAACCTTTGACTAGACTCAAAATAGAAAATCAAATCAAAGGACCATTAAAATAGGAAATAATTTAGGAGACAATCAAGGGATCATAAAGGATTTAAAATCACGCCACCCTTGACTTCTTCACTAGGGTTTCATGCCTCTTTGCTTGCAAGAAGCTCAACTTGTAGTCTTCCTTGCATTGGGCTAAGGTCTGCATCTCTTGGGCTTGACTCTTCATGAGTTTGGATCTTAAATACGTTATACATGTATAGATGCTCTCCTTTGGGCTTGAAAGGAGTGCCCCAATGCTCTTCAAGCTCTTGAACTTCTTGCACAAGACTGGACAAGGCTTGCTTCATGGCTTTAGTTCGGGCTCTTGTCATTGGACCTCCAATATATTGTAATGGGTCTTTAGGTACGTTGGATTGGAAGTATTGGGCTCCTTCTATGTCATCATGTTCATGATTACCATCCTCAAGTTTCATTGCCAGTAATGCTGTGTCACCCATGCCATAAGGTCCATCATTCCCTCCCAGTTGGAAAGGATTCGTCCTTGAATCTGCAGAATCATATAAAGATAAATCAGAAACATTAAATGTGGCACTAACATTGCCATAAGAGCTAGGCAAATCAATCTTGTAAGCATTATCATTAATTCTTTCCAAAACTTAGAAAGGTCTATCTCCTCAAGCTTGAAGTTTGGACTTCCTTTGATTAGGAAATCTCTCTTTCCTTAAATGTAACCAAACCCAATCTCCAAGCTCAAAGATCACATGTCTCCTGCCTTTATTAGCTTGCTTGGCATATTGCTCATTCTTTCGCTCTATGTTTGCTTTAACCTTAGAATGTAAGTCCTGTACAAACTTAGCTTTAAAATGATTCATATGATCAGTCAAAGATTTACTATAAATCAGAATTTTATCAAAGTAAAGCACAACAAATTTGCCTTTAAACTTTCTAAAAACATGATTCATTAATGCCATAAAAGTACTATGAGCATTGGTCAAACCAAAAGGCATAACTAACCATTCATATAACCCAAATTTACTTTTAAAGGTAGTTTTCCATTCATCACCCTCTTTCATACGAATTTGATGATAACCACTTCTAAGATCAATTTTAGAAAAGATAGAAGCACCATGTAATTCATCAAGCATATCATCAAGTCTAGAGATAGGGTAACGATACTTTACAGTGATTTTGTTGATTTCTTTACAATCAACACACATCCTCCAAGATCTGTCTTTTTTTGGCACCAAGATAATAGGGACAGCACAAGGGCTAAGGTTCTCACGCACAAAGCCTTTCACCATCAATTCCTCTACTTGGCACTGGATCTCCTTAGTCTCTTTAAGGTTAGCCCTATAAGCAAGCTTGTTTGGAATAGTAGCTCCGGGCAAGAAATCTATCCTATGCTCAATTCCTCTTAAGGGAGGAAGTCCATCAAGAATTTCATCAGGGAATATATCTCTATAATCCTGCAACAAAGAGACAACACTAGAAGGCAAAGTGGGGTTAAAAGTATTAGTAGAAAAATATATATTCTTAGGAATTACAATAAGAGCTTGCTCACTCATCAAAGCCTCTTGAATCTTACTTTTCCCACACAATAATATTTTCTTTTCACTATTTTCCTTCACTCCCACTATTCTATTTTTTTTCTTTTCTTACCTTCTCACCACTCTTTTTCCTCTCTTTTGATTGATTTTCAAGTAAAGTAATACTCTCTTTCTTTTCTCTCTTACTCATGCCACAATCAAGGAGATCTCTCCTTTGCTTGTAATCTTGAGTAATCTTTAGTTGATCTTCATAGACTTAGATGGGCCTAAGAGGATTTAATACAATAATCTTGCCTTTAAAAGGCACCTTGTAACAATTTCTAAAACCATCATGAGTAGCCTTACTATCAAATTGCCAAGGCCTACCTAATAACAAGTGTCCAGCAAGCATAGGGGCTACATCACATAATACATCACAAGTATAAACTCCCACAGAGAAAGTAATCAACACTTGCTTAGAAACCCTAATTTCAGCAGAATCATTCAACCATTGCAATTTGTGGGGCTTAGGGTATGGAATTAAAGGTAAAGATAATTTATTTACAAGTAAAGTGCTAGCGACGTTAGTGCAACTGCCACTATCAATTACCATGCTACACACTTTCTCTTTGATAAAGCATCTAGTGTGAAAAATATGCTTGCGTTGCTCATGTTCATCATCCTCCTTTGGTTGAATATTGAGAGCTCTTCTTGCCACCAAGATAGAGTCAACTACACTATTGCATTCAAGCTCATCATTTGATTCATGGGAGGTAGAATCATCATCAACATTATCAGCATCATCTTTATCACTTTCATGCACACTATCATAGCCACCATCATCTCTCAAGATCATAACCTTTTTATTGCTACAATCTTTCACCATGTGACCCATACCATGACATTTGAAACACTTAATAGGAGAAGTGTTAGATGAATAAGAAGAAGGTTTAGGGTTAGAAGTTTTACCCTGATACTTGGTCTTTATTTCTTCCTTGGCCTGGGATGTATCTTTGGCTTTGAAATCCTTCCATTTGGAAGTTGTCTTGGAGTCTTTCCAAGAGGGCTGGAACGTTTGTTCTTATTTCTCTGCTCCAACTTTATAGCCTTGTGTATGAGCTCTTCCTTGTCCACAAAAGTGTACAAGTCAAACTTATCTCTCAACTCTGGCCTCAAGCCATCCATAATTCTTGACATTACTTCACGTTCATTTTCTTGAATGTTTGCATGAAACTTTAAGATATTCAACTCGTGCACATACTCCTCCACTGTCATAGATCCTTGAGAAAACATTCTCAATTTTCTATTCAGCTCTGTGTAGTAGTAGCTGGGGACATAAGCCTTTCTCAAGTACCTTTTAAGCTTCTCCCACGTTTTAATGGGCTTTTTCCCAAGTTGGCTTCTTTTGTACTGTAAATCTTGCCACCAATAAATAGCATGGTCAGTGAAATTCAAAGAAGCAGTTTTTACCTTCCTTGACTTAGACAAATCAAAAGTCATGAAGATTTGGTCCATCTTCATTTCCCAATCAAGGTATTTTTTTGGATTGTTGCTACCCTTGAATGAAAGATACTTTACTTTTTGGTTCAGTAAGTCAACACCACGCTTTGAGGATTTCTTTCCCTTAGGAGAAGGGGGTTCTTCATACTCCTCATCATCGCTGGGGATCTTATGCTTCTTTCCTTTAGAAGAGGAAGTCTTCGGCTCATCTTTATCATCTTTATGGAACCTATGATCAAGTTCCAAGCGAAACTGCTGCAACTGTGTTTTGATAAGTTCTAAAACAGAGTTCATATCAATACTAGGGGATTCATTCTTGTTACTCATGTTCACAGAAGCACTAGAAATCATATAAGATAAAAATAAGTCCTCACACACACAAACTCACGTGTTTACTCTCAAGATAAATAAAATCACTCGTGTTTCATAAAAAAAATTAATGGCTTTTTTTTTAATGATGAAAAACACACTTGCCTTTTACCACTCACTAAGCTTGTGGATAGAATCCAATGGTGAAACCAACACAAATCAAGAAACTAAGGAACAATCAAGTGAATATCTTCTAAATTAAGGAAACTAGAAAACAAGCACAAGATGAAAAGAGGATTTTTTTTTTTTTGCAATTTTGAAACAAATAGGAAAGCAAAATTTTCAAATAAAATTAAGCTTGTTAAAGAAAAACCACACGTGACAATAAAAATAAGAAAGAAAGAAATAAAAGTCAAAGAGTCAAATACTCAAAGACAAAAATAGAAAACTAAATAAAATAAGAGAGTAGCACAAATAGCAAATAAGAGAGTAGAGAATTTGAAAAGTGCTACTAAAAATTAAAAATAAGAAAGTAATCAACGTATAAGACTTTCTTATCACCCAAGTTGACTTTTCTCTTTAGGCAACCTCTTGGTGACTTGGAGTTCAAGAATAACCTTTTTCTACAGTCATAACTCACAACAATATATTTTTTTATAATTTTTTTGAATTTTCGGATTTTTTCTCTCTTTTTTTTTCTCAACACACTAACACTTTTTTTTTCCTTTTTTTTGCACGAATTTCTAGGTATTTTTTTTTCTCTTTTTTTTTGAGAAGGCTAATAAAATGAAAACTCACATAAGATAAAAAGTCACAAAGATGAAGAAGAGAAAAACCAAAAGATAGAAGTAGATGGGGTAGATAAGAGATGATCACAAAAAGAAATAACTCAAGATGAAAAAGAAGAAGGAAGGACAAGAATTTAAACCAAAACTAGCAACTAAAGCTCTGATGCCAATCTGATAGGGGACGCGAAAGCAGAATTGTGCTAGTTTAGGGACAGAACCCTAAAACAACAAAAACACAAGAACAAAAAGAAAGGGACAAAATTTATGACGGAAATAAAGAAAGGTATGAAGTAAACAAGAGGATAATGATCAAGGAGAAGATCCTCTAAAACACCTGCCTCTAGGAACCTCAACTTTCGAAGACATCACAAGAGTTGATCATACTCTTGATCACGTCTGTTTCTCACACAGGATGCCATCACAAAGCACTAAGGCTCACAAGAGTTATAAACTCTAAAAATGAATAATTTCATTCAACTTCTGTGTTGTTTACAATAGGGAGCATGCCTAATTTATATAGGCTCATAGAAAAGAATATTTCCTAAAATTAAAACCCTAATTTCCTAATACTAAAAGGAGAAATAATATAAAATAATGATAAAATATTCAACCACATAATTTAGGAGATGTGATCCTAAAATTATAGGATTACAAAATTTAGAAATTAATACTATAATTAATTCTAACCTTTGACTAGACTCAAAATAGAAAATCAAATCAAAGGACCATTAAAATAGGAAATAATTTAGGAGACAATCAAGGGATCATAAAGGATTTAAAATCACGCCACCCTTGACTTCTTCACTAGGGTTTCATGCCTCCTTGCTTGCAAAAGGCTCAACTTGTAGTCTTCCTTGCATTGGGCTAAGGTCTGCATCTCTTGGGCTTGACTCTTCATGAGTTTGGATCTTAAATACATTATACACGTATAGATGCTCTCCTTTGGGCTTGAGAGGAGTGCCCCAATGCTCTCCAAGCTCTTGAACTTCTTGCACAAGACTGGACAAGGCTTGCTTCATGGTTTTAGTTCGGGCTCTTGTCATTGGACCTCCAATATGTTGTAATGGATCTTTAGGTATGTTGGATTGAAAGTATTGGGCTCCTTCTATGTCATCATGCTCATGATTACCATCCTCAAGCTTCGTTGCCATTAATGCTATGTCACCCGTGCTATAGGGTCTATCACTTGCTGATACCATGGTCATCAGTGCTACGATGAGTCCGATTCCCATCCTTTGAAGCTCTGTGAGTCCTTTGTTGTTCATCTTTTGGGCGATGAGAGGGTTAAGTAAGAACTCGCTCGTAAAAGAAGATGAAAGCAGAGGCGCTTATGATGTTGAATATAGCCACGCTTGCTGGAGGAATTTTGAAAGA